TCTTTGTTCCACCTGAGGTCTAATTATACAATTTGTTTCATACTTCCAACTAGGCTTCTAATGTTTCACAGGTAACCATACCTTTAATAAAGTGAATGTTTTCCAGAATTAACAGTAAAAGACCTTTAGAAATCACATGAAAGTATTTAGGTTAACTCTTCTTAATTGTCTGCTCGGGGTGGAACGAACTAGGCCCAGACAACACTAGGCCCTCCAGCAGGAGTCTTGTTTGATTATATGAAACATCAGGGAGGAGGTCACACACCTATCTGCATCAATGGGACTTCAGTGGAGAGAGTCAGCAGTTTAAAGTTCCTGGGTGTTAACATCACAGAGGACTTAACCTGGACCCACCACACCGACACCCTGGTCAAGACAGCACGGCAGCGCCTGTTCTTTCTCCGCAGGCTAAAGAAGTTTGGCATGCCATCACCTATCCAGGCCACCTTCTACAGGTTTACTATGGAGAGCATCCTGACTGGTTGCATCACTGCCTGGTATGGGAGCTGCTCCGCCCGGGATCGCAAAGTACTGCAGAGGGTGGTGAAGTCATCACCAGCTGTGAGCTACCAAACATCCAGGAGATCTACTCAGCTAGATGTCTGAGGAAGGCCAGGTCCATTCTCAAGGAACCCAGTCATCCCAGTCACAGACTGTTTTCTCTCCTACTGTCCAGTAAACAGTATCGAAGGATTCAGTCAAAGACTAACAGATTATGGAACAGCTTCTACCTCCAGGCAATAAGACTGCTAAACAGCCAAGCGTCAGTCACCTTCAGCAACCACCCTAATGGTCCTTGTTAAACGTTCAGGTTACATGGACATGCAGTTTTCCATTGTGTTTGTCAGACTGCATATTGCACTCCTTGGACATAATGTATTGCATACACCCCGGAAACGTCGCAGTTCTGTTTATATTGAGTTATGTTTTTATTGCACTGTTATTATGTAGCCTTTTTTAAATTTTGATCTCCCCCGGGTGAGCTCGCGGAAGAAGACGTTTCATTGCCAGCAGTTACTGCTGCACGCTGTATTGCTGTGCATTTGAGAAATACACGTCGGTGGATCGATCCCCGGGGTCGGGGAGTCTGCGGCTTTGTGAGAAGGGGCGGCAGGTGTATCATCGACCCACCCGCGACATCTAGTGGCTAATGTGTGTTAAGGGACGTCGACAGAAGTGTGGCTCCTATTTCCGCTACTAGCCACGGCGCTGCCGGTGCAGGACAAAAGCGGCTGAGTATCCTTTGCGGCCCACGCATGCTGACGCAGCTCCCCACCTGAATTATCCAAGGTAGCGTCTCGACCGTTCTTCTCTGTGAGGGCGAGGGGCTCGACTGCTGACCGTTTACAAAGGCGCGGAGACGAGGAAAGCCAAGTTGAATTTCCTCAGATAAAGCGGGGGTGACCACCCCTGCCGTGAAGACCCCGGTAAATCAGGGTTCTCCAGGCTGATGAGACCCGTGCTATTTCTACTCATGCTATTCGACCCCTAGCTATTTCTGGAAGGAGCCCCCGGGCTATCAGCTTGAATAACAACTGACGACAGATGGAGGCTTGTCCCTGACTCCCCCCCAGGGTGAACAAACACTGTCTGTTCTCGGTCTAAAATAGTCTCAGCCAAAGGACAGGGCTCAGAGAGGGCACACAGATATATCGGGGTCAGGATCTTGAACCAGGAGCCTCCTGGCAATAAGACACGAGCTTTTAACTCTTAAGGTCTTCTTGCTCAACCAGGTCATTCTCACTCAGTGACGTGGCCGGTTACGGCTGCTGCCTTACTGCTCCAGATTCCACCATGTTTCAGTGCCACCCTCAGGTATCTATCTGCGTGGAGTTTGCATGTTCCCTCCTGGTCTTTCCCTGCGGCCTCCTCTTTGCTGCCAGCTCCCACAGACCCGCTGGCCAGGCTGGGCTGGTGTCTCTGGACCCTTCCTCCGTAGCCCCCAGCCGGGCCTCCCTCGTGCTCTGTCTGTCCGGCCGGCCGGCCGTCCGACCAGGATAATGGTTGGAAGAGCTCAAACCACAATGAAAGAATGAAACTCTGAAGTTTCCAGAGTGTCAGGAGAGCTGGCCATTCCTGCTGCTGGGTCGCAGGCACTGAAGTAGAGAAAGTCAGAGCTCTGGCAGTGACCTCTGCTTTAAAAAGCACGTTTTCATAGGAGTGTTTTATTACTATTAGGAATTCCTTACACTTATATAGCACTTTTCTGGACACTCCACTCACCACTCAGAGCGCTTTACAGGTAATGGGGATCCCCCCCCCGCCCACTGTGCAGCCCCACCTGGATGATGCACCAGTACTCTCCTCACACACCAGCTCTCAGTGGGGAGGAGAGCAGAGTGATGAAGCCAGTTCAGAGAGGGGGATTATTAGGAGGCCATGATTGGTAAAGACCAGGGGGAAATGTGGCCAGGACATCGGGGTTACACCTCTACTTTTTTCCAGAAACACCCTGGGATTTTTAATGACCACAAAGAGTCAGGACCTCAGTTTTACATCTCATTTAAAGAACAGCACCTTTTTTACAGTATAGTGTTCCAATTGCTATACTGAGGCATTAGGACCCACACAGACTACAGCGTGAGCGCCCCCTACTGGTCCCACTAACACCTCTTCCAGCAGCAGCCTTAGCTTTCCCAGGAGGTCTCCCATCCAGGTACGGGCCAGGCTCACACCTGCTAAGCTTCAGTGGACTGCTAGTGGTGAGCTGCAGGGTGACAGAACTGCTGGTACAATTATTATTACTATTAGCCGAAGTACATTAATACCAACCAGCAGCTATAACTAACTGTAACTAACTGAAGACACAGAGGGCCAACACTACTGTCTTGGATGACTTCATTCACTGGATTGACCGAGACGTGCCAAGATGAATGATCATTCAGTCAGAGCTGTCCACTGGTTCGTGCTTCATTTCTTCAGAAAGAAGATCAACCGTGAAACGTGAAGCAGAGGACGCAAGAGGAACCAAAGATGAAGCGAAAGGGAGACTTTACACAAAGGGTGGTGGGTGTCTAAAACAAGCCACACAGCCTATTTGTTTACGTTCATACCTTTGGGATCCAAGAGCAGGCCTGATGAGATCCTTGTATCAAACACAATTAGCAACTGAACGACTTGGACCCTGATTGAGTTCCTTGTTTGTAAGCTGTGTGCTCTTCTGATTTACTGTAGGAGAGACATAATTGGCAAATGGGGACACCTTAACGATTAATATTTATTACACGCAATAAATTAGTGAAAAACCTTGTTTCAAATTGAGGGGGCAAATACTCCAGTCAGTGACTGCAGAATCCATGTATGCTATAATACCCCAGTTTCTAAAAATACATCAGTCTTCACTAATTCTCTGCTCCCTATCCCTGGCAAATATCCCTGTTTTTTTATATTTGCCAGGGATATTTTTAAAGCAAAAAGAGCTTTAGATAAAATTGCATGTAAACATGTATGCTGTAGTTGCAGTCTTATTGTAGAACAAAAATACAAAACAGGACAACACAAGGGCTCTGCTGTGCTTTGCGATACAGAAAAGCAGGATATGACATTTGGTCTGGAACATTTGGAGGACATTGTACCTGTTTTGCTAAATTTTTACAGCTGCAAGGCCTTGTTTTTGGCCTCGCTGTTACATTCAACAGTGCTGTACATTCAACAGAACCTCTGGACACATGCATCCTGAGATCTGGGTTACACATCCCAAAAAATCCAAACGAGTAAAATTAAAATGGCAGGTTTTTTTTTTTCCATCCCCGTGGTTGTCCCAACATCATGCGCGTGGAGAGACCCCACGTCCTGCGTCAAGCGTTTTTTTTTTTAGGTCTTTTAAGAGCCAGGTTGGTGCTCTTGTAAAAGATAGGGGTTTGTTTTTGAAGGCCTGATTGGAGTGGACTTTGTCAGTCACCTGCTGTACCTAGTCTGACTGCAATGGGCTTTCATCTACAGGCGCCTGACGTTAACTGGCCAGGAGCTGTACAGAGATCAGCGGGGTCTTCAGACAGCAGGCCACCGAACACCCTGCCAGGAGAAGGCAGGCTGTGATGGCAGCCAGCTGCGGGAAGACATGGGTTCACCCGGTGTGTCCAGCGATGGGCGTGGCTCGATCCAAGGGATGAGTCGTCTTCCAGGTTTAAACAGAAATACAAATAATGTGACCATATGTCTGAAATGTCGCATCGTCTCTCTGATTCCCGGTTCTTAAAAAAATACCATAAACCTCTACCCCAGTTCTTCCAAAATACCCCAAAGCTCTATCCCATCCCTGTGGCAGGACGGCCTGCGGAGGGGGTTGTGAGGGGCAACAGTGTGTTGGGTTCGGATGGTTGCTTGATTGAACGCTGAAAGACAGTGCTGGCCAGGGAGGCGATGGAAATCTATCTCCCAGACATCGTCCTGTCTCAGGGGCCTGAGGGTGGGGGTAAACTTATTTTGGGATATTTGTTGCCAGCTTGTGAAGCAGGGCTAAGAAGAACCCCTCTGTAGCACTAGAGCAGTGCTCTGTGTTTTTGCCACAGAAGAATTCACATGCTGAAACTCCCCGCAGTGCAAAGCAGAGCACAGAGTGATACAGCGCTCCTGCTGTTTCCGGAACAAGTCTCCCCTTATCAAAGCAGGACAGCCCAGTTTTCCTTCCGTGCTCTTGTACTGGTGCAGTACTTGTTTGTGCCACCTCTGTTGCATGCCAGGTGTTGTGTCTCTCCCATAGTATCCCTTATGGCAGGACTGAGGGCTGCACACTTGCATATATAGCCAGTGTTTGTTCAAGGTACTTCCAAAGACAGATTGTTAGGCACAAGAGCCAGCGTAGGGTCTGATCTTGGTACAAAGACAAAGCTTCATGCAGACAGCGTACGCTTAAGCCCATAGCAGTGCTTCAGATATTGATTAGGCTTAAAGTTTGCAATTATTGTCAGCAATAA